TTACTTTGCGGTACGACTTACGAGAGCAGCTCAGCAGAGACATACAGGCTCGAAAGATGCTGCTCTAGGGGCGCTGGGAATAATCCATCCTGCATGGGGGCAGCCGACAAGCCGTTGGAGGAGGGCGTTAGCCTTTGCTTTAGCATCCAAGGAGCCTGGGTGCACCGGCGATCGGCCAAGATCAGTAACCTCCCTCAGATCCATTACGAGCCCTTTCATCACGGGTCGCGAAGTGAGCAACTCCGCTAATCATTGGATCTCCCTCGTGTACGGCGGTAGGTACGCGAAAGAAAAAGACGCCAACCCCTCAATGGCAAAAAGGGTCACCCTCTCACTCTCCCTCCCAAAAAGGTCTTCAGGTGAGGCATGTGGATGCTTCACTGTGTACCACCACCAGGGTATTCAAGTCATGTGCCGCTGCTGTTGTTGTCTGCGCGAGAGAGAGAAAGAGGACAGAAGGGCAGGGTGTTATTCGTGTGCGTCATGAAGCGGAAACGAAACTCGCGCGCGACCGGGGGTTTTTTGGTCCAGAACGAAAGAGCTTCCAGACTTTTTTTTCAGAATTCAGCGAGTGCAACGCTGGGTTACAGCAGCAGCAGCACAAGTCCCGACCCCGAGAAACCGGGTCCACGGGGTCCTGTCGCTGTCCACTGTCCACGCAGTACACACGAATCCCTTGGGTCGTATCGTCGTCGAGTTATGCCGGCAGTCCGCAGGCTAGACCCCCCCTCACTCGTGCTTTGCGTCACGGCCGTGGCGGCGGCACCAGCAGCAGAGTCTATTTTCTCGTCCATCAACAAACTCAACATTGATTACTATTGCCCGGCAACTTCTTAGCAACAAATGAATCCCAAACTCTTCTGCTGTCACCTAGTGTAGCTTTGCTTTTTTCTTTTTTTAATCAGTTCAGTTGCCATTGGCAATGGGACATTGTAGGTGAAACCCTGCATCACCTAAATGCAGCGTTATGCTAAGGTACCTCTGAATGTCCCCTGTCCTGTCTACCCTTAGCTCATCCGACCCAAGCCGTTGGCGCCTGCCTGAATCACTCCCATCAAATGAGGGAAAGAAATATAATAAAACAAGGTGCACGGGGGAGAGAAACAAGACTCAGCCCAACGAGCGCAGAAACCCCGTGCAACACTTGATTGGCCGTCAGACCATCGCAACGACTTCACTCAAGGAAAGACATGCCTTGTTGCACCCAAATTACTCCATCCGGGGCGGCTGAGGTCGTTCCTTCTCCCTCTGAATCACGGCAGCCTTACCTAAGCCCTCTCTGCTTTACCCCAGGCAGGCTTCATTTCAATCTTGATGTACCTATCAATTCAGCCGAGGCAAAGGGCAAGGCGAACAGGCTCCAGCAGCTGAACAGAACAACAGCCCAGCTCAGCTGATCGTGGCTTCAATCTGACTGAGACTCACTCTCTGACTCTCTCCTTCAACTCTGACATGCATTTTACATTTATCACATACGCATAGAGCGTCCGGCCTGACCTTTGCGAACCGGCGGTCGTTTGGCTTCCAATTGACTTTAGTCCAATGTTTCCTCTGCCTGCCTCCCGCTCATGCAGCCAGCATCCTTCCCAGTTCAGCCCAAAAAAAGAGCGCATAACAAGAAACATCCGATGACGGGAAACCAAAACCCAGGAACCTGTTCGTGCCCAGAAAAGAAGAGCCCGAAACTTCCTTCCCGCTTCGTCCAATATGCGCACATGCAATCCACGGCTTCCGCACATCCCATCCGTTCGATCATTTTGCGCCGTGTAGATCCCAGAAAAAGAAAGAAAGGAAGGAGGGGGTGAGCATGTCGGCAGAATCAGACGCAGTGACGTGATGATCCCCCAGCAACCAAAACCCATCACCCATCACTGCTTTCTTCTTCCCGTACATCGACACAACATCCAGAGCACTTTTTACGTGATCCCAGCACACCACATCATTGGTAACGAAAGTCTGATCACCACCACCAGCAAAACCCAGCGCGGCCGAGATGCCCCCCGTTTCCCTGTTTCCCCGTCTCCCGGACGGTTTCCCGGCCACCGTTCATCGATCTCGGCCTTACTTTTTGCCAAAAGAAATCCTTTTCCTTGGTTTTTCCTCGGTCTACAAACAACAGACTTGCCTTGCTACCTTAGCTTTAGTCTCCCCGAATCTACCTCTCGGCCTTCAGAACACGGCTTCTCTCAACCACCCGCGCGCCGAATCCGAGGTTTGACAATGTGCAAGCCGGTCTCGGCCTTCCATTTCCCATTTCCACCAAGCGCCATCCCAAACTCCCGGGCCCCCGAATACGTGTGTATGTGTATGCACCTCTTGCAGGGGCGAATTGTTGGGTATTTTTTTTTACGACCTGCAAGACGACAACGATTTGGTGCAACAAAGGAAAAACCCGTACACGCAATGCCCCCCAGTCGGCCAAACTTGCACCACTTACCACAGCCGGACACAAAGTTTTGCGTGTAATTCTCTACCTCTCTTCTTTTGTCCAACCAGTCCCAAAAACGACTCATCGCATCGTTCCGAAAAGAATACCTAACTAGAGAACCAAACAAAAAAGATGTGTGTAAAAATAGCTACCTATCCGTACCTCGCGGCGCCTTCCTTTCCCCAGTCGCGCGCCCCGTCCCACCACACAACCCATGTCACACAAACCCGCTTTCGGTTCCAATCCTCCTCCCACTTGCCCGTCGTCCGCCGTTTATTACCACCAACGGGCAGGCAATATTATCGACAACGCAGAAGGGACACCACTAAAAAACACACATCAAGGTGCACAGCCACACCACCACCCCCTCCAGCAGGACAAAATCGCCTTCCGGCAGCACGCAGCCCGTTCAGATCTCGCCATTCGCCAACGTGCGCGTTCGAATCGCTTCACTGGATGCCGCCGCTGACTACGCAGACGCTTAGCCTCCAACACCGGTCTTCCTCGCAGTCGTCGGGTCCTTCTAGCGTCGATGCCAACGGCCTTGGCTCTCCCACATCTCACTCTCGCCTTCGCCCCCTCTCCCGTCCTCCCGCGCTGACCTCATCAACACCCGGCCCCCAAAGATGCCGTCTCACGCCGGTCACCCGTCCAAGTCCAACTAACACAAACTGACCAACCCCGACCGCATCATCGTAGAACCAGAAATATACGCATGAGCATATCCCTCATCAGTAATCCTAAAATGAGGCTCTCGGAACCCTCCCGCATCTCGCGCTTGCCTGCCTGCCCGCCGCCCCCCTTCATCGCCCAGCGCCGCATTTAATTCTGGAATTGATACCCACAGCCCACCCTTCCCTCCCCAGAAAACACGACCCTTTTCCATCCATCGTCCAGGGTATGCCCACCCCTTTATAAGATTTTTTCTTGCTCAAAAGGCAAAAAAAGACAGGGTTCCGTATGCTTTCCGTAGGGGACCGTCGCGCTGCGCGTGGAGTCCCCCTTTGCAGTGCACAACATCCCGAACACACACACACACATTCCGCACGCGCAGCATCAAACAACAATGGGAAAAGTCCAATCTTAGATCAGCCTAGACCTAGACCACAGCTTTCCCCCACCCGTACAGTGTCCCCCACCAAAAACAAGAATCTCACTCCACACCCGGAGCCCAAACCGGCCCCCGCCCGGAGCTCGGTACGGACCACCTCCCAAAAACGGTAACACTCACCAACAGCGAAATGTCACCCTAGCTGACGACGTTTGCTTGCGTCGTCGTCCGCAGGGCTGAGCCGATCAATGGGGGTTCCTGCCAGCATCGCATCTCTATCCCACGATGCTTCGTAGAAGGCTGGTGAGAAAGTTCGTGTTGGTCGTGTGTCGTGCGATTCTGGCAGATTCCTGAGCAAAAGTAACGGCATGGTATCGATCCAGACGACCCATGACCCCTCGGGGCCGAGCTTCCTCTTTTCGGACACCGCTTGTTTTCCCTGTGCTAGAGTGACTACTTTCCCTGTGGCTATACTCTTCCTTACTGTCATCGTCGTCCATCATCGTCGTCGTCCATCATCGTCGTCGTCCATCATCGTCGTCGTCCATCATCGTCGTTGTCCATCATCGTCGTCGTCCATCGTCTTCCATCATCATCCCCGTCAAAGTCACCAAGTATACAAGAAACGTAGCCGCCCAGACACAGGAAAATTAAGCGGTCTCCCTTCTCGGGCTGGAGGGGGAAGCCTTCCCCGTCGGGACCACCTCTGGAGAGCCGCGTAAGATCAAGCTCAGCCCGCATGGCTGGGGCCGGCTGTCGCTACCGTTGCCGTCGATGTGGACCTCATCGGGTCCTCTGCTGATGTTTCTGCCCCGTGGCTTGGCGCGGTCGAGGGCCCATTCTTCTAATTCGACCTTGGGTGTTGTTTTTTAAGCATGTCGTGATGGTACGGGGTTCGGATGGCATGGATTGCGTGGAAGCTTGGGTGAAGCCCTGTCGAGGGCGCGTATGCTTACTGCCGGGAGACTCTCCGTTGTCTGAGGAGGCCGTCGACTGTCACAAATCGAGATATAACCGAGACGTGAGTCGGGGACCAGGACAGCGGGGGAAGTGATGGAAGTCCCCTGGCCAGGCTGCCTGATGATCGGTGGCAGTTGAGATCACAAACTTTGAATCACCAAGGAATGCTCGTATGACACGCTGTTGTATTCGCTATCTGACAAGTCTTGATATAGAGATAATCCATACTTCCATGATACACCGCGACGACCATTCTTCGCAACGACGCCTCGGCCACGCCCGGGAGACTATTTGCTCTGCATCAAAGGGTCAGCGAGTGTTGACGTCAAAGATCCCATGCGGTACTCACAAGAAAAATGGTTTCATGCCGCATCTTCGTCGGTGAGGCAGCCCATATCAGAGGCTGGGAGCATCAAGAACAGCCGTCCGTTTCTGCGTATGTTCCCAACAGCACATCCAAACGCACTCCGTGTGCTCTTGACATTCGACGATAGGCCAACAACTTTGCTGTGACCGCAGACACCTTCGCTGGTGGTAGAGATTGCCGTTGTGGTCGTATCGCTACTCCAAATGAGTGACGCCAGGCTTTGTAACTTTCAAAATTGATACAGGTATTATGTCGGGTAAGACGTATGTGCCATCCTGCCATACGCCGTTGATCCTTCGGTCATTTGGGTCTGGGTCGGCTTCCGAGGACCATGGCCAGCGGGCGCGAAAGCGTGCGATAGTCTCATCCGTGGACTCGTTGTTCTTCTGGCATACCCGTATCAAAGCAATCTTCAGGTCTTTGATGGTCGGATTTTTCTTCCTACTACACTCTTGGTAGTATTCTCTGACGACCATGCGGCGCAGATTATCGTTTGTCTCAATGCAATCCATTCGAAACGCGGCATCGGCGCGATTGATATCATCGCCAGATTCGAATTTGGTCAGGAAATTCGACTTCGAGTTCGACGACATTCTCGCCCGGGTGCTCCAATAGTGACAACGGAACCAAAACCTGATGTTGAATGGGATATACAGGCTAAACGACCTAGAATTGTCGGGTCTTGGTGCAAATACTGTAGATTTCGCAGGCTCAACAGGCTCAACAGGTCTGACAGGCTCAACAGGCTCGACAGGCTCGACAGGCTCGACCGGCTTGATAGGCTTGACAGGCTCGACCGGCTTGATAGGCTTGACAGGCTCAACAGGCTTGACAGGCGTAACAGGCGTGACAGGTGTGACAGGCGTAACAGGTGTGACAGGCGTAACAGGCGTAACAGGTGTTGCAGCCGTTGTAGATGTTGCAGCCGTTGGAGTAGTGGGTGGATTGTGGTCTTGGTTGCTTGTCGTAGCCGCGTCTCGATTGCTTGCCGCAGCCGCGTCCTGATTGCTTGCCGCAGCCGCGGCTTGATTGCTTGTCACAACCGCGTCTTGGTTGCTTGCCGCAGCTGCGTCTTGATTGCTTGCCGCAACCGTGTCTTGATTGCCTGCCATGACTGACGTGGGACGATTGATGAATGTGGTAATCCAAAAGAGAAGAGCTGATGATGTGGTGTGGTTGTGTCTGGTTGAATGCTGATAGAAGTTGGCGGTGCTCAGAATGGTGATGATGTTGGGACGAGGTTCCAGGAGACGGACGTCGTCAGGTCCGCGTTATTTATGGTCGCTCACTTGCTGCTCTTTCCTGACATCGTGCCTTCCGCCATCCCTCGGTGTTGCTTCCTGTCGATGTTCTTCCCGCCTTCCCCTGTCGGCAGGCACTTCCTGTTGCTGTGCTTGTGGTCTGGTTTATCCACGCTCACTCCTTCCCCCTACTCTTGCGACTGCTTCTTGTCGCCTTGCTTCCTCGACACTGCCTTCTGATAGTCCCTGCCCGTCTCCGCCGTTGCTCTTCCTGCCTTGTACCTTGCAGTTCTGTAGGAAACTGTGACTTACATGAGATGGAAACAAGGCCAAGTGCGGAAAGAGTCAATGGTTCATTCGATATCGCCCCTTTCTTCCCTGGCAACTATCATCCATCAGGCGTTCCTCCCATGCGCCTAGCCATATCAAGGCCGTCCTCTTGCCCGAGCCAGCTGACTGACAATGATCCCTTCCATGCCTCGGTCTTTCCAAAAGAGCTTTGCTAGCCAGGCAGTGTCCCATGTACCTCTAGTGGCGTACTTGCTACTTCCAGAAGGATAATAGTAGTGGAGAAAAAGAGAGCGATAGTAACGACGACGATAGACGACAGCGACGACAGCGACGATAAACGTTTAAGCGATCAGAGGCGATATACAGATTGCACGCGTGTGCGGTGGACACTGCCCTGCTTGCAAACTTCTTCTCAAAAGCTCACGGCATCTCGATCTTGTACTCCAACGCATCCCGTCCGACGACCGCCGGATCCTCCACAGCCTTGACCCACGAGATGGACTTCTCATCGTACACAACCTCGTAACTAAACATGTGATCCTCCTCGCTCTTCTCCCCAACACGGCTCCGAAGAGTCTCCTTCGCCCGCTGGACGCCCTCCAGCATCGTGACATACGTACACGTATCCCAAAGTCCGTCCCGGCGAGGGAACCTGCGCAGCAGCCTCATCGCGTCCGCCTTCACGTTGTCGTCGGCGCACAGGATGGCCGCCGCGCCGAGGGGCCACGTGGGACTGATGCTGTTCATCGTAAACACCTCGCCCATCTTCGCGTGCCGCTGTTGAAATGTGAGAAACTTCTCGCTGAGCGTGACAACCTCCCTGAACGCGGGCGTCAAGGATACGAGTGCTTCCCAGTCCGTGTAATTTGCGGTCTTGGTTGGTACGGACAGGTACGTAGAATGTATCCTCAGACCGAGGGCCTTCAGCCGCTCCCGATCTTCTTGGTCTTTGGCGTGCTTTCCCGTCGCCTCCACCAAGGGCAAGAACCTCGCACGCCAGTGCTCAATGAACTTCATGTGCTCCTTGACCTTCTCAGTAGATATCGGCAAGCTCTGTGTCGAGGGATATGCTGCCGGTGACTTGCTCCCCGTCCCTTCGACCCTAAATCCAATCAATAGTGGTGCGTGGTGTACAACATGGTGCTGCGTAACCTCCCACCAGCGATGTGCCTCGTCGAGGGTATCAAACACCTCCGGCATCTCATCCACAGCATACCGCTTCATCCTCCCTCGACAGCACCACGGCACATGCTCTTCAGTCTCGGCAGGATGATCTCCTCCATGACTCCACGACTGCATCGTAAGGCGCTGAAAGTTCGCAACTATCGCCTCAAGCAGCGGTGTCCTTTTCCGCCCGACCCGCCGCTCATACTGGTCCAAGATATGACACCCGTGATTCAAGTGAATCAACGCCGCCTTCCTATCCCCTTGCAACGCCTCAAACATGAAGAACAAAAGACACGTCATGAGCACCTTCGGGAACGAGTCTTCCGTCGTGGCCGACGCCGCCGTGTGCTGCAACGCGCGGTTATAGTACCTCAGCGCATCAGAATAATACGGCCCCTTGCCCCTGAGCCGCTGCTCTCTCGTGAAACTCCCCAACGACGCAGCGCCAATCGCAAACGCCGCATTCCTCACGCCGGCGTCGGACCGCGCGAGCTGCGGTATCGTTTCAGTGATCAGCTCCGATGGGAACACCAGCGTGTCGCCCGCGAACCACAGCCAGTGGTCAAAGTGATCCCTCTGCAGCTGGCTGGTGAACACGAGGCCCTCGTAGCTCGGCTCGACCACCCGCGGCGAGATGGCCACCACCGCGCCCCTCGGCGACCGCACCGCCTGTTTCGGGGGCGTCTTCGATGCCCGCGGCTCCGTGATGTAGCCCTCACACGGGACCTTGCGCTTGACGCAGTTGTGGCATGTCGGCTTCGCTTCGTCACATTTTACCCTGCGGCGTCTGCCATAAACGTCAACATTAACAGGAACATGTCTCAATTGGAAGAATGACTACATACTTGCAAGTGATGCACCCTGTCCGCACCTTGGGCTTGCTCGCCCGGGTGCTGGGCCCGTCCTTGCGCGGCCAGTCCTCGAGCGCGAAGGTGAGCACTTCCGGGCCCGGACGGATCATCATAGGGCTGATTGGTCTGATCGTAGGGCTGAGAGTTTGGTGCGAGAATGCGCTTGTAAGCTGGCGGCGTCCCAGCGACCCGGTTGCGGTTTCGTCTCGTTGGTTGTGAGACGGGGGTGGGCAAACCAGAGTTCATCGACGGATCTCTCGTATGTCCTGAAGAGGAAGTGCGGGAGACAACGGTCCCTTATCTAACCCACTCGCAACCAGAGAAAAAATGACAGATCAAATATGTTTTTCAACAAGAATGAGATGAACTCGCAGCGGCTGTTGTGATGAATATCTCCGTCAACTTGCTGTTGCCTAAAACTTCCCCCCTCACATCTACGTTTCCGCGTAACATCAAACGGGCAGAGAAAGCGTCACCTGGGCAGAATTAAACCCCATGTTCCAGATATAAACTCTGATCTACGATAAGGGAAAGAAGAAGGCCGTTGGGAAAGGGCGGCTCGGGAAGGCTATTCGTAGGATCGCAGTGCAATTAGAGTGTGCCAGGCACTGCCCCCCTTAGCAGCTGTGCCAAGTGAAGGGAGGCCCGACATGGGTACGCGGTAAACTCGATCTCTGACTGGTGCGAAAGTCTAATGTAACATGGCAAAGAGCGCACCCAGAACCGGCCAAGCCAGGCAGCAGTAAAGTCTATGACGACTCCATGAGATGGTAATCATCACCTAAGGCACGATCACTGGAGAATTGGGCCATAATTTTCGAATTTGACGACGATATTGGGGGCTGCGTGGGTGTAAGCGAGCGTGGGATTCGGGGACGCTAAAGATGCAACAGTGATGCGTTGGAACGGTCTGGATCAATCGCTCGCCTGTGGGAAAGAGGCAGCTGGATTGAGCTCCTAAGCGAGAACGATGAGCATTCCCCGGAGATTGTCGGCGTAGGGACGGCGTCCGGACCGGGCCGACCCCATTTTGTCCGAACCACGAGCGGCGCCCTTCGGCGTTGCGGGTCTGGCCCTACTTGCAGTGGCCGGGAGTGCTCGGCAGTCGAAGTCTTCTGCGCATCCCTTGCGACAGTATGTTGATGCTCAGATTTCCTGCTCTTTCCCGCCTCGTTGCAGTACGACTTCTTTCTTCTGCATGCGGCCGTCCTGATGCCCGCGCACTGCCTCCACGTCCATCTCGCGCCCCGACACTTGCAACGGCATTCGCCGAAAGAACAACCGGAATGGGACAAACGGCGGCGGCAGGGCGTACCGAAACTTTTTCCGGACCGAAGAGATGCCAGCATGGATGTCGACCCCATGGAATGCACCATTTGTGTCAACTCGTGTCCGGACAACCTGAGCTACGATGCCTTTCAGTAGCAAAATCAACCCAAAACAAATTTCCACGGCTTTTGACAATACGCAAAGGACGAAAAATGATGCTGAGTAGATGCTCCTCGTGACTTGAATCATCGGCAAAATGATCAAGACGCCAATGATGATCATCATCTCGCCGAGGAGGAGCAATGGCAGGAACACCACGCCGGGGATTACCTCACAAGCAGTGTCAAGGTAAACTGAAAGGTCTTCCACCTGGCGAAAGAGGCTTCTGTAGATGCCGTGGGGACCCTGGCGGCGATGAGTGGTCGTGCTCGAAAACATGCACGGGGGATACACTAACCATGGCAGTTTTGACACGCACGTTTCTCCGGCTTTCAATGATTCAAGGCTATTCATCGACTCGAAGATCATCACTCGCAAGTTGAATAAATGGCACCTAGGTTTGAGAGATTCAAGTTCCATTATGATCGTACTAATCTGGCCACGTCCCAACTTTCGCATCTTTCAGCTGCCTAGCACCGTATATGTCATCTCGTGAGGTGAGAAGATAAGAGAAGATGCCTTCTCCAGCAAAGTTACCGAATTTGGCAAGCTATCCTAAAGAGCCGGCATAGCATGGCCGGCCTTCATTATCTTACGTCTCGGTGGTGACTTGGAGCGAAGTTAGTGTAACACAGCCAATCCATCCACCAATCTTTCTCATTACGACCATAAGCTGGATAAGAACATGAACGTGGAAGATGATGTTCATCACGTAAACAGACTCATACACTTCTGGGTCAAGTCTTCTATGGGCTCACATCTAAGTGTCAATATTTGGTTGTGACCAGAACTTGGCGTGCCGTATTCGAGTATGGCATGTGCGTCACAGCTGGTGACAGTTGTCTGCATTCATGGGGAAGCGTGGAAGTTTCTTCTTCATACCCCTGGACACGCCAGAGCATACAATGAAAAAAAGAGGTTCGCGTCGCCTGGAGGCAGTGTAATACCAGGGACACTGTGGGATGAGTCATGTGCAAGCACAGAGGACTCTTCCCTAAAGCCAAAAATAAGAATAATCACGATTGGTCTCCTTAGAGACCTTTCAGAGATTAAACTGAAAAGAACAGATACTACACTTGATCTAAGCCAAAAGGCTGCAAAGGGGTTAGCAAATGAAGTCCAAATTTAGGATCTAGGCAAAACTGACCAAAGAGAGCTAGAGAAGAAAAGAAAAAGAAGAGGAAGATGCAGAGACAGACGCTCATTATATAGAGTTGTGGTGGGCGGTGTCGCGGGGGACAGATCACTCGTGTGGCAGAATTTGGGACGAACTGACTCAGCCGAGACCCGGAGGGTCTTTCCACCGAGTGGGAACAAAAGGAAATGAGCCCTAGAAACATCCAATCAAAGTGTTTTGTGTTCATGCGGCTGTCTTGGGGCTCGGCCATGTTCCGGTCGTGTTACCTAAACTTTCCACATTCCTGACAGGGTATGGCTCAAGAGGGGTTTTTCATTGGCTTGAGCGTGTTTTCACGTCCACTGATTGTCTTTGGCACCTTGCAAACAGGCTGTTCCATTGAGGTCTGTGGAGAAATGGCTCAGGAAGAATTTTGGATGCGCCAGGTGAAGGGCATGAATGGTTATTGCAATTAAGCATACCTTGAGAGGAAGATTCGATATTTTACAGCCGCCTTCTTCACCGAGCTCACCGTGATGGCGTTTGGTCAAGGGAAGAAGTGGTGGGGTGGCTGAGAAGGTCGTGGCTTGACTGAAGTCAGAAATTGACCGCGTACAGAACCTCTTTGGCCAGGCGCCGACGGGACACAGCAATTCTATACGAGCGTCGAATTCGGTGGATATCAAGAGAAAACATCGAATTAACTACCTTGTCGATGGAGCAAGTAATCACACAGGTTTGGCCCAGCAAGCGACCGATGATCATCAATGAGATTCACGGAGCTTGATGGTGAGAAGCCGCATTTGGCCGCTCGTCATGTCTCAAGAACAGCCAAATGTGCCTGTGGGTCTTGGATTCCGCGAGAACATCTAGATAAACATCGCTGAAAGAGACTGTGGCGCACTCACTGTTTGAGAATGCTTGAGATCGAAATTGAGGTCGGCGGCGATGTTTCGAGGATCATACCCGATGTTTGATGTTTTTCGTCTTGTTTCTGCCGACGTCGTTGCTGTTGTCTTGAATGTCTCCTGTTGTTGCTGTCTTTGTTGTTCGTTAGTGCTGTCGCTTTCGCTGTGGTTGTTATTGTTGTTGTCGTCGTCGTCGTCGTCGTCGTCGTCGTCGTCGTCGTCGTCGTCGTCGCCGTCGCCGTCCGTCGTGCACCGCCGGCCCATCCACATGACGGTGTCAGCGTGTACACAAGGCAACCACAAGCAACATGTTGTTCCAGAACACCAAAGACGAGCTAATAGAGACTAAACGATAAGTTCGGATAATCCGCATATATATATTCGAGAGTGATGACACATTATCTCAGGAGTGAGCCATGATCGCCACAATCACAGCATTCAATCCTACGCCTAAGTAAGCAAACGCCACCAAAACATGACATCGTTGAGACCGTCACCCCCGTACTCAACAGTACAGAACTACATAAGCGACTACTTCTTCCTCTCCTTCCCGGCAACCACCGCCACCGGTGCCTGGGCCGGCGGGCCCTTCTCTCGGTGCTGCCGCCCCACAGCACCACGCCGTCACCGACACCCTCAAAACCCGGAACAACGGGGCCTCGGGCCGTCACGTGGTCCGTCTCGGACATTTGGAACGGCTGCGTGAGGCCTATACTCCCTTTAGCTAGTACCCGGAGACCAACTGTGAGGGCATGCGTCGAGGAAAACAAGAAAAAGGAACTCCAGCAGCAATATATCGTCTCGTATCTTGCCTTGTAACTGAGTTCGTGTTCGTGTCTGACTAGAGGAGAAGGCCGGGATCTTCGTTTATTTGGCGGCTAACAAGTTGAGTAGGCCGTTTCGTAGCCAACTTCACCTTGCGAAGCTTATTGACAACCAGCTGCATTGTCGACCCATGGGATAGTCATAGGCATGAGGGAGATCCCGTTCGGGGTGATCAAGCCAGGGTACGTCTAGTTGAACAAATATAGGAAAACTGGGTTAGAGAGCCGGTTGTCAGTCTAGGAGAGATACATACCATACTACTTCACCAGGTACAAGTGTCAAGGCAGGATCAACCTCACCTTTCTCACGTTTCCTTCACTCCTGCCTGACTAGCTTGGAAACCGTACTTTCCTTGCCTTGTTCCTTGCTCTTTCCCTCTACGAAAATAACCTAAACGCAGCGTTTTCGCAGGTATAAAATCCATTGTTTTGGCGGCCACGTCGTGAAATAACTTTCTCTTCTATTCATCCCACAACGTTCGTCAACGACCTGCACCAATTTTGAAGTCATCACGCCTTTCAAAGGCGTACGCACTTGAGCATCAAAGGTCTACGAGACTGGTGGGGGAAAGTTGAGATCAACTAGCTTGCGCACCATCTGAGCAAGAACACGGAGGAACAAGAACGAACTTGAGAATATCAAGAACCGGGGTAATCAGAACTACCAAGAACAAGACCTAACGATGTCTACTGCCGACGCAAACATGGCCAGTATCGAAGAGCGCCGTCAAATTGTCAAAACACATCTCAAAGGGGTCCACGACTCTCACGAGAGCATCAAAGAGGACATCGAAGTAGACCTCGACTCGCTTGGAAACAGTTACAGGCTCTTATTCATTCATGAGCGCTTGATCAAAGTGCTGGAGAAGAGACTGGAGAGGCTACACAACTCCGGTAATACATCTTCAGATAAGCCTAAGGATAGCAGCGAACCTGAGGATGACAGCGAGCCTGAGGAGAAGAGCGAGCCTGAGGAGAAGAGCGAGTCTGAGAATAACAGCGAGCCTGAGAATGATAACGAGTCTCAGGATAACGACGAGTCTCAGGATAACGACGAGTCTGAGGATAACAGCGAGCCTGAGGAGAAGAGCGAGCCTGAGGAGAAGAGCGAGCCTGAGGAGAAGAGCGAGTCTGAGGATAACAGCGAGCCTGAGAATGATAACGAGTCTCAGGATAACGACGAGTCTGAGGATGACAGCGAGCCTGAGGATGACAGCGAGTCTGGGGAGAACGGAGAAGAGGACGAGTCCAAGAGTGACGCCATTTCTGAGGCGGACAGCGATAACTCATCAGAGGTTGAAATCCAAAGGACAGCTACAGCTAGCCCAGCCCACCAGAACGCTGACCAGAGGCAAAAGAGCGATGGTGCGAAGAAGCGACGCAGAGACGAGTCTGAGGATTTGGAAAGCGATCAGGAAAGCTCTTTCAGCAAGACAAAGAGATCGAGACATCATGCTGGCGGCTACGTCTCTGCTTTCGACGAGGAGGATCTGAAGCTGGTCAGGTTCTTCCGGAGGATGTCTCAGCTGTCCACCGAGCGCCAGATCGACAGCTTCAAATGGATTCATCCTGTTGGGAAGAAGATGATGGTGGGATGGATGGATGTGGTTGAGTCCTTCCAGAACATGACCATCACAGCGGCCAAGAGATAAGCCAACCATCTACTACATCGTCTCATTTCTGCCAACCAGTCGGCACTTTCCGACGTTCTAATTTTTTTTCCAGCATTCTTACGATCATCAGACCCTCAAACACATCAGCTGCGCAATTTTTCTTACAGACGACGTTTTTGCAGCATTTTTAGCATCGGATGGAGAGCCGATGAACTGGCCACAAAGTAATCACAGGGGAGGGGCATTCGATGACCAGCGGAGGAAGAGGTTCCAGCAGAGCAGAATTACACAGCGATTGATTTTTCATGGCACAGAAATGGACAGCACAGAGATTAGCCACATACACTAGGCCAGATATCTCTGAATTCTACAGTTTACAATAATGGGGACTCTTCTATCGTGATCTATGAGTTATCAATTTGCGTACAGGAAGCTCCCGCCCTGACATTCTGACGTTTCCAGATCGCTCGTCGAGCTTAACGGACAAGGATGCCAATAGGGTCGAGGCTCGGCTTCACCTTATTTCTGTATCCACCATTCCCTACGTGTACTCGGGTGGCAATCTCGCAACCCACGGATGCCGAAGGCCAATGGAAACGACTCTAATGTGCAATAGCACGTGCTCATCAATCTTGTGATATGCATTGTTGTACTGCCAGTCAATGAACGACTCTTACATTGTGCCGACCCAGATCCCCATCTAAGTACCTTACTCACAACACCTGCTACCGTACCTACATAAAATCTCTTTCACGGGATAAGCGTTCATTAGTTTCAGTGAGACGTCCCCGGTTTCGAAGCCATGATACGAGATGGAGAAAAGCGCAAGAGGAGGGTCTCGAATCGTAACTACCGACGAACAAAGAGCCGCAGGCTATGTTTTCGCATTTATCTTCACCGCTATTATCTACACAAATTTCTAATACAATTATAAGAGTAGAACAAAAATCAGAATATAATCAGAGTAATTAAAAACGGGAAAGGTTTTAGAAAAGGGTTTTCTCGAGCATATGTCGCAGACCAAAAGGTCGTACACAGCTTGCTTCGCCTGTCTCCAGTCTCCCGAACTTGCAGTATCTCAGTCTTTTCTGAGGTTACGTCGTCCAGTTTTCTTCCGATAAGAAGATAATACCCGATACTATTGGGTCTACATCATCTAGGCCACAACTGCGATGGTCATCCTGGGATCCGAGACAACATGATAGGGTCAAGTGGAGGAGGGAACAGGATGGTAGAACGACAACAGTCATGCATCTTCACCTTAGAAACGAAGTTTGAGTCGAAGACTTGCTTCAGCAAGAGAGGAACCAAGGATAGCGTCAAGTACTAACATGGTCAAAGATGCATGTCTGAGTAAAATCCTCCGCAACTTCAACATTTAAGTCTATCTAGCTTAATGTGATCAACTGCATTTCTTACTGTGTAGCAAAGACCTTCGATATATCCAGCTAGAATCCCTTAGTGTATAAATATTCCTCATATCTACCGCTCTGTTGACTAGCTTTCTCTCCTCTTCAACTACAATACCTCCCAAGTACCCACGCCTTGGCTATTGGAGTGGCATCTTTCAAAAGTATCACCAGTTGCACACAGTTTCAGATTGGAAAGGCTGCCGAGAACGGAACGAAGTTCTCATCAAGCAACGATAGCCGCTAGGAAGCCAGAAAGCAACGCGAGGAGGGCGGAGGCACTAAGGTGACTGGGGATATCCTCAATGAGCTGCAGTTGAATACCAATATCATGGGTTCGTGCGAGGAGCTGGAGATCAGCTTGGGGAAGAGTCTGGAGAAAAGCCTGGAGAACCCGCATAACTCCACTGACGAATCTTCCGACGAGCACGCCGAACGAGACAACGAGTCTCAAAAAGGCGAGAGAGAGCAGCGGATCAACAAGCTTCGAGGGGCGGAGAAGAGCGACACAAACATTCGCAGCTACAATGTTCGTGATTTCAGCGAGCCACCTTCTGCGGACTCCGGCAACCACGACTATGATGGAGGATGCTCTTCGTATAAGAGCGGTACGGAACCCACAGACAATGAGAACGACGAAGGGTGCATGAATGTCAAGAGAGACAGGTCTAGGGGCGTGGTCAGTGACAAGTCGCCAAAGGTCGAGAATCGGAACCTGAAGAGAGCGAGAAGCCAACAGCAGGATCATACCAGCAAGAAGCACTGGAGTCATAGAAAGGAGAGTCGAAACACGAAGGAGGAGTCAAAGAACGAACACCGGCCGGAACAGCGCGAGGTTGATGAAGAGAAGAAGCGCCGCACAGGCGCTGCCGACGAGTTGGATAGCAACCGGGAGGAGTCAACAAACGGACGCAAGAGAACCAGAAGAGAAGACAAGGCGGAAGCGCCTCCTGATACCGAAAACATCACCCAGATCATGAAGTTCATCAGACGGATGGCTCTTCTGTCCGACGAGCGTTTGATGCAGAATCTCCAACATGGCTTTCCCCTGCATGCTCAGGACACGATTCTGGCAGGTTTTCGTATCATCGAATGGTTCCAGGGCACTGAGAGCGACTTGGAGGATCTTTAAGCCGGCTGCCCAAACGCTTGATGTTTGTTACACATTTGAGCATATCGAGAAACTCAGCTCGCCATCAGCGTTTCGATGCAACGGAAAACATCTCATACGCTGGGATGCAGAAGGACTCTTACACGACTATGGAGCTGTATATTCACACATACAAAGTGAGAGCAATCGATCGATCGCGAACAGAGAGGTTTGGTGAAGAAGCCTACAGGGGAATTGACGCCGGAGGGAAGCCGAGGACTGGGTTTACAAAGTAGGCTGAGTTACTCTTAGCAGACCAGTTTCCCTACAGCGATTCGTATTGATAGTACAAAACTTAGCTATATGCATCTCCAACGCGGTCTTATACTCGCAAGCTCTGTCAAATCCTGGTCCAATGTTCTAATGCTCTAGTTCTGATTGACAGGAGCACAGGATTTTTTACCTATATTTCACCGCAAGAGCCCACCTAAACGGGGCTCTTAAAAAGAAGCCACGTAGAATTCAGCCGAAAATCAACATTCCTATGCTTTAGCTGATTTCGTGTGTTGTATCTATTTTAGAAATATTATACCTACTTAAAGATAAACAAGCCTTGATATCCAACAGACTTGACACCTTCAATATTGATCTATCTGCCCGCCCAACGAGCGTTTACGCGAGGGAATAGACTACGGCAAAATTCACTCTGTTGACGGGCACAATTCTGGAAACACTATATAGGCACTTTGACCTGTGACCTGTAACGGTCAAGGAACACAGTACAGAAACCCTACACGTTCCTGCTTGCAAGCAAACCTTCTGGACATCACCGCACAAAGTTCAGGAGGCGCAGAGTCAAGAGGTCTGTCGCTCTAAGCAGGTAAAAATCACTGAACGGCCAGAGGCCTTGCACGGGGGTATAAAAGCTAACGTATCGACTGATTCATGACTACACTTTCTCTTCTATTCACCCACAGTATACGTCAACTATCTATGTCTTTTCTGAAGGTATCACGCCCTTCTAAAGTCATCCCGACATTCTCAGTGCCACATCAAGAATCATTCACGAAGATCCGGAGAGATTCGAGCTCGGTTGGAGCATGATCATAAGTCTGCTCTCTAACCTCAACCTGCTGCTTAAGCGTTACGACCAGTCCACCGACGAGAACGGCCACGAGTTCAAGAGGATCGTTGGAGATGCGTTCGAACAGGCCCGAAACCAGTTTCTGGCCGATTCTTCTGCGATGAAGAGGGTTTTACCGCCTCCAACGGAGTTACTGGGATGCTCAAAGCCAATGGCAAAGGCACACCCGACGCAGTCAAGCACACGCCACAGACCCTCGAGAGCGCCGTCGGAACCCTCAGCGCGCCCACCGACAGAACAACGGTCGCCGAGCCCCGGGAAGACGCGATGACGAAGGGAACAAAGCGAGGAAGAGTTCGGTCCGATGCTCGGGAAAGAGATGAGGAGAAGCAATCCAGCGAGAGCAAGAGAGCAGATCTGAGAGATCAGCGGATCATCGCGTCCACTGCGAAGAGACTCGTTCACTTCATCAGTGATATGGCCAAGGACCCCGAGGAGGTACAGACTCAAGTCATCCAGCGCTGCTTCTTGGATAGCACCTTTAAGGACTTCCTATTCGAAGCCGAACTAACCCCTCGCATGAGAGCGGTCGTGATGGGCAGTGCGAAGCGTTGAGCCGACACTGCAGTCAGGCAGTCATCGGCACTCTATTCTTACTATCAGGGAAGCGAACTTCACACAGAAACGGTCGATACAACATTCTTGCACAACAGTTTTGCAACAATCTGAGCATCTGGCCGAGAAGAAATGAGGCAGGGTTGTAAAGTGAATTTGCAGGAGCAGGCAAGGGTCGTCTTGTGACGGGCGGAGAGTGTGCTTTTTGCAAAGATAGCGATTCATCTTGATAGCACGAAAACAAGCTACTTGCGTGAGTACCAGCGGTTTCTGATACTCGGTTTCTTAAGTCCTGGCTTAAGGCTCTTACGAAGACGTCCTGACTCACATGAGTTTGCTCATCTCTCAAGGTAATATCCAAATCATATGCGCTCTGAAGAAACTACCCAGAAACCAGCCGAAGATCAGTACTTCCATGCCCTAGATGACTTCGTGTGTCATAGCTGGCGTAGAAACACTACATCCACTAGGAAAACATGAACCTCGACTTCACATAAGACTTGACATCTTCAATGACGAATCCATCCCCAAGGAGTCTCACTCAAATCACACACAACAACCCACTCCAAGCACCCTCCGCACGCTTCTCTCCGAAGAACACCCGCCACCATTGCGCCTCAACTGTCAAGAAGTCTCACATCCCACGGCCCCCAGGAACTTACACCATACGCAGGAAAGGGGGGGCTTGGCCAGCCAGAAACAGACTCCACAGATAAGAGCCGAACCTGTGCCCTTTCAAACGCGGGACATAAGGGATCTAATATCCCAAACACACCAAGGAATCCAAACTCTTTTCCCCGGAGAGAGAGAGAGGCGTAAAAGAAGAAAGAAAAGGGGGGGA